GGGGGGCACTCACGTGCTCAGGGTCAACTCCAGCTCTAGCTCCCGGGTCTCAATGGTGATGCCCGAGGTGCTGGCGATGAGATAGAATCGCACCTGGGAGGAGGGGGCAGAGAGGTCAGGGCTGGGGGTGCAGAGAGCTCAGGGCACGGTGCAGGAGGGGGGTCTCACAATGGCGCAGAACGGGGGGGGGCAGGAATTTAGGGGCACCCTAGCAGGGGGCAGAGAGGTCAGGGCTGGGGGTGCAGAGAGCTCAGGGCACGGTGCAGGAGGGGGGTCTCACAATGGCGCAGAACGGGGGGGGGCAGGAATTTAGGGGCACCCTAGCCAGAACGTAGTGTATTAGTGGGGGTGTAAGCACAGAATTAGAACGGTGTTGGCTATGAAGCCGTACGTCTCGTCGGCATGGCAAACTAACCTGCGGAGGGCCCTTTAGTTACTTCTTTAGTAATGTGATGTAGTGTTGGTACCTTGCTGGGCTGTGGGTGAGCCCCACTGGTGCTGTCTGTACCACGGCCCAGCAGAGTAGCTGATGGATCAGGAAGGTCACCTGTTTTACTAGTTACCTCCCAGGGGCTATGTCTAGACTGCAGGCTTCTTTCGAAAGAGGCTCTTTCGAAAGATCGCGTCTAGACTGCAGGCGGATCTTTCGAAAGAGAAATCCGCTTTTTCGAAAGAGAGCACCCAGCGAGTCTGGATGCTCTCTTTCGAAGACGGCCTCTTTACATTGAAGAACGCCTTCTTTCGAAAGGGGAGCTTTCGAAAGAAGGCGTTCTTCCTCGTGAAATGAGGTTTACCGCCATCGAAAGAAAAGCCGCGTTCTTTTGAAATAATTTCGAAAGAACGCGGCTTGAGTCTGGACGCAGGGGAAGTTTTTTCGGGAAAAGGCTACTTTTCCCGAAAAAACCCCTGAGTCTGGACACGGCCCGAGAGGAACAAAGGGAAGAAGGCAGAGGGCAGCCCCTGGCTGGAGGGCAGGGCTGGAAGTGGGGCAGTTTCTGTCTGGATTCAAGGAGGAAGCAGCCTAAGCAAGGGGGCTGGGAGTTAGGGGCCCAGTCTCCCCCATCTCAAGGGGGGCTGAGGCATCCTAGGCCTGGCCCTGTAACTAGATTACATCTCTGAGGCCTCCTAGCTCCAGTTCCTGTAACCAGATTGCATCTGGGCTGTATCTTGGAGAAGCAATAAACTCCCTCAATGCCACTGGCTGGCAGAGTGTGTTCATGCCAGGAGACGGGAAAACCCCAACGCGCTGTCACAAGTAACTATACAGTCTGGTCTGAACGTCTCGGTACAATTGTTTGGCCAGAGCGGAGGATGCGTCTTCGGTCGGCTTAAGTGTGAAAGCCAGCTCGAATGTCCAGAGGGGGAAGAAGGGGTGAGAAACAACAAGGAAGCCTCCTTGCCTCGGATGCTAAATGAATTAGCAGAACTGACAAACCATGGAGACAGGAAGACACCCCGAGGGGAATCCTGAAAATAGCCATCAAAGGATAACGGTGGAAAACTCCAAGATTAGCACCATTTAAGGATTAGCGATGGCAGCGTGACATTGCAAAACCCAGAGACTCAAATGGAAATGTACAAGAATAAAGATGGGGTGTTTTGTCTTGGCTCTCAATCCTGCAGAGCATTAGATCATGACCAAGAAACCAGCTCCTCACTCATGTTCAATCTAATGAGCCACAGACTGTACGCACGCACATGCGGGCATATACACTGCGAAGAGCAGTATCTACTATATACTGCGGGGAGTTTGGCAGTTTGTTTCATCTGAAGAAGTGGGCTGTGGTCACGAAAGCTCATGATCCCAGCCACATGTTTTGTTAAATCTCTAAGGTGCTGCAGGACTATATGCTGCTTTCTAAGTTTTTCCTTCTAAATGATAAGAACTAGTCCTCAAAATTGGCATAACTGAGAAAATGTTGAAAGAAACGGAACAAAGAAAAATAGGATGAACCTGGAAGAAGGTTGCTTCTTAATGAACCTTACAGAAAGGAGACACCACAGACATTTGGAGTAGTATTTTGTTTTGGCACCGCTAAATCAATGCTTAATGTTTGAAAACTAGAAGAAAATGTTATTGGAAACAAAATTGACTATAGCCCCCTTATTTTTTTTTTTAGAACACAATGAATGATAAGAGTTTATAGCGATCAAGACAAAAGAGACACTTGATGGAATTCCCATTGTTAAAAAAATTACTAAACCTGAACTAAAAATTAACTTCATAAAAATAACAGCGTATTTTTGAAAAATACAATAATTTAAAAAAGCATGTACATTTCCTTTTATTTAAAAAAACCACCAAATCTATCATTGATTTATAGGACTGGGGACATCTGCTAGTTTTCAATAAATATGGCTTATTGCCTTTTTCCCTGAAAAAGATCTGTGCGCTTTTTAGAAGCGCAACACACCACGGTCCAAGTGTGACGCGGGGGTGGGGGTGCAGGCAACAAGATCCGGGGATGGCGCGGGGGGAGGACGAATTGGCGGGCAGCAAGGTAGGAGCATGGCACAGGGGACCAGGAATTGGGGGCAGGGAGGTGGAGGAGCATGGCACAGGGAGGCAGGAATTGGGGGACAGGGAGGTCTGGGCACAGGGGGAGGGGGTAGGAATTGGGGGGCATGTCACAGAGGGCAGGGCGTGGAGGAG